AGGAGGCAACACTGTCAGTGTGACTCATCCTGGTCAGACACGCAGAAAAGACACCAGTACAGGGAGATCCCGCCCTCTGGAGGGTGCAGACCACGTGTTCATCCTGTGACAGGACTATAGCTGGAGTCATCTTAACCCTTGGCTTAGAATACCACACCCGAGCTCCTGTTCCTACCAGGGATAAGGGCCTTGGTGCTAAGTCCACCACTCCCAGAGGGGTGGGCCACGCAGCCACATCACTGCCTTTGAGGATGGTGGCTCCAGCATCAGATGGAGGGTGCGCTGAGCTCCTTCAGGGCATGGTGAAGTCCAGGGCTGTACTTCCAAGGCACGTCTCAGCCCCTCCCCCCAGGGTTCCAAGAGGAACACCCAATTTCCCACCAGGGGTCCGGGCCAATCCCAGGTCCACTGATAACGGCCTCCTGGCCATATCAGTTTCAACACAGGGAGGATTAAGGCCCCTTTTATTACCTTAGAACCGTGCTCTGTGGGGTGGACATACAGAGGAACTGGCTGTGCTTTCAAAAGGCAATCCAGTGGGCGGTCACACGTAGGTCGGGGCTGGCACTGGGCACGTGGACCGCCTGAGGTAAGACCCGTCCCAACCGGGCAAACTCTGGAGCCAACTGGGCCTGCTTGTTTTTAGGAGCCTGTCGTACCTTTCAATCAACCAGCAGCCTGCAGACTACAGCGCACATGGAAGCGCCCTGTGACATCACTGTCTTGGCCCATTGTTGTACCTGAGCTCATGTGACATGGGTTCCCTGGTCAGATGCTATTCTTCGGGGAATCCTGTACACAGCAGCCAACCACTGCAGTGCCTTAGCGGTGCGGCCTTGGTCAGCAGAAGGAACAGGTTAGGCAAAGCCTATACCTGTGGCCGTATCTACAGCAGCCGAAGCATATCTATGTCCCTGCAAGTGAGGAAGGGACTGATATAGTCCACTGTTATTGCTTTAGCTAGTGGGGTGCTCATGGCACTGTGCCAAGCTGTGTGGGCACCCTCCTTGTCCAGGGGGCCAAATGGGCACACAGGATGCCTCCACCACAGATTTGACTCAACCGGAGTCAAGTCCAGGGGCCACTGCCATGCTATTGCTTACATGGTGCAGGGTCCTACATGCCCCAGTTTCTTGTAAAGCCAAGGCACCACAGCAAAAGGTATCCCTCAGAGAGCAGTTCCCCTTGCCAAGGCATCTGCTAAGTCATTGACCAGTGACAGGAGGGCGATGTCTCCTGAAACACGGTACACTACATGGTCAGTTGTTTGGCTATGCACCCATAAATCTCTCCATAAGTCAGCACCCCACGAGGATTGGTGCCCCATTGGCCAATCCTGGGCTGCCAAAACTGGCAGCCAGAGCGTCAGCCCCCTAGTGACAGCCCGACTGTCAGCACAAGCGTGGAGGGGACTTCATGCACCACAAGTAGCCCCGCTTCCCATAACGCTGCCCACTGCCTCCACCCACCTGTTCCAGGCTAAAACCAGAGGATTTCTGTGAGGGGCTGGACAGCAACTGCTGTCGCTGAGGGACTATACCACAGCTGGACCCATCTGTATACCAGGCATCAGCCAGAGGTCCCCCTTCCCCTTCTGCACAGGGGCTAGGTGTCATGACCTGTGAACCATCATCCTGTATGGCGTCCTGTGCTGTGTACATCACAGGTCCCAAAACTAACCAACTCAGCTGCCAGCAGACAGGCTGCAATGGAGGCCCATTGAGCAGGTATGTCCCCCGGCATGTGAGGGTGGGGGTCTGGGCCACTCCACTCCTGGAGCAGGACATCCACGTATGGATCCAGCCCTTCATCTTGTTTCTGGCCTGCACACACAGTCTCTTGCCCTATGATTCCATTACATGCATGCACAGCTGTGAACACTGGTGCTACCGGTGTCTCGATCAGGGAATACCAGCCTTCAGCTCTTTTCCATAACTGTGACCACAGGCCCATAGGCTGCTTCAGTTTCTACTGTTTGTGCCATAGAGCACAGCCAAACCCAGCATCATCCACACTTACTGTTAGGGTAAATGGTGGTTAGCGTCAGCAACCTGGAAGGCTTGTACCTGTGCAACTGCCTTCTTCAAGTCCTGAAATGCAGCTTTGCAGAGACTGTCCAGTCCCAGGTTATGTCCTTCCTGGTCATCTGGTATAAGCAGCAGGGTGGCTAGTTGTCGCATGAACATCCACCAGAAACCTAACAAGCCCACCTATGCCGGTAACTGGTGTATGGTTGTAGGTCTGGGGCATGCTGGATCTTATCAGCTGTGGAATTGGGAATTACTTTCATCTTACCTGAAAGATAACACCCAAGGATCTGACAGATTGGCCAGGTCCTTGGACCTTGTCTTCATTTGTGGTCCACCTCCAGACTATGAGCAGTTGCTTCCAAATCTTAAGGCAATCAGAGGTTAACATAAAATCATCAATATAATGAAATAGTGACACAGAGAGTGGCTTAGTCCAAGTGGCCAAGTCAGGCCACCAAGACATGACACAAAACTGGGCTATGCAAATAGTCTGTGGCACCATCAGGAAGGTCCCTTGCCTGGCCTCCCAGGTGAAGGCAGGTTATTCCTCATTGTCAAGCATGACAGCAATGGAGAAGACAGCATTGACCAAATCCTAAATATACTGGTATGGACCCCCCATCAGGGTGAGATGATCCATCAAGTGAGCAATGTGGGGAATAGCCATGTGCAGTGGAGGAGTCACTTTATTCAATTTCCAGTCATCCACAGTCCTTTGCCATGATCCAGCGCACTTCTGCATGGGCCACACTGGGAAGCAGAAAAGGCTACATGCAGGGTGTATCACCCCTGCATTTTCCAATTTAAAGATAGTTTGTGCTATTTCCCCCTGGCCTCCAGGCTGTCAGTACTGCTTCACACACACAGCCTCCACAGTCTGTTGGAGAATCAGAAGGGAGTTCTTGGGTTATGGTTTTTACCACATAGACTGACAAGAGGAATTCACCCTGCATCATGTCAAGTAGAGCACTAATCAGTATTCTACCCCACACCCCCCGTGTGTATTCAGCAACTGGGAAAACACAGACATCCTAGGGGCATGGGGCCAAGCTCCTGATGCTCAAGGTCACCTGGGCTCTCTGGACCATATGGGAATGACCTCTGTGCCCTTCTGTGTATGCAATGGGTCCTGTGAAACCATCTGGGTTGGCATAGCTTATTGATGACTCAACTACAGTGTCCACCAACAATACACATGCTGTACATTCTTTGGGGATCAATAAATAGTTCATTCCACATGTGGCCCTCATGAATCAGGTGCTTCTCCCTGTTCTTAACCTGGATAAGGGAGGTCATTGTTACTTTTTCCTGCTTTTATCTTTGGCCCAATTGGCTGAAACCGCTGCTCAGGACACGGCTCCTACCACAGAGTCAGCAGCACACCCAGCTGCTGCACACCTGCTTCGTCTCTGGCTAAGCTGGCGGCCAGCGGGTCCATCCACATGTGGCACCTGTTGACCTTCAGTGGCCCGGCCGCCTGGCCATGGAGTGCCGGCCCTGCTTGCCCAGGGCCTGTCCATTTGTTCGCCTTTGGTGGTGCCTTACCTTGTACTTCACTTCCACATCCCCCAGTAGGGAAAAGGCATCTACAGTGTCATGGATCAGGTGATCTATGGAAGGGAATAGGCAGGCTGCCACCGCTTCAAGTGTGCCAGCCGCCCACTCACTGGGATCATGTCCTCCATGTGTGCTTTAGGTAGGTTCTCATCTGGGCTACATAGCAAACATCACTTGGTGGGTCCCCATCCCCCACAGCACAGAGACTAAGTCTAAGTAGGTCACCTATGCTTTGACTTCCTGGGGCCACTACCATTAACTAAAGGAACCACTACCATTAACCAATGAATCAAGGTCTGGTTACCTGCTTGCAGGGCTGTCCTCTGCATATCCTGCAGAAACTACCACATAGAGGGCGTGCAGGCTGCACCAGCTGTTTGGGACACCTCTTACAGCCTGAACTCTGTGTTATCGGCCCCATCATCCCAGAGCCATAGCAGCCATGTGGGCTTTTTTTCCTCCCACCTTTTGCTTTAATTGTTTGGCCAGCTGCTATAAGTTTATGGTCATGTAGGACATATGCTACGTGATGCGTGGAGGTGGCAGTCCTCCCGATCCACCTCCTCGGGTAGGGGCTCCTCTACCTCCACGTTCAGGTGAAGAGCAAGCCTTCAGGCTAATAGCAGGCCTTGCATGCACAACCAGGAGGATATGAACTTCTGGAGACACTCCAGGAAGAGGCGACACTTCCTGCGCCTTGCAACATGGCTTCTGCTACAGCCAGTAGCTCCTGCAGCTACTCAGTTTGCTGGAGCTAGTTTCCTTGCCAGACAAGGTTGTCTGCCTCTCGCCACATACTGTGGAAGTGAGCAAAGAACAACCAAGCCACTCACCCCCCAACTCCCAGTCAGGGGAGGGATTTGCATGCCTATCGCTTCTAAGGTGTTCAAAAGATCTCCAAGTGTCCCACAGACTTCTTCTCAGTCCCCTGGGGCTTTCCAAGCCACCAGAATGGAAACCCAGGTGGGGCCAGGGTAGGCATGTTGGCACCTCCTCTCTGGGACTCTTCCTCACCATCAGGCTCTGTTCCACAGGTGCCATGGGGATACGCACCTCACCACCATGCCACCTATGCCACTTGTTAGGACTGGGGGGCTGGAAGGGTATTGCAATGGTGAGTCCCAGAGGGAAGACCACACGTGAGGCCAGCACCAGCAAAACACAAGCAGCCTCTTGATTGTGTGGCAGTGTATATAAGCCATCACCACATGCCTACATCCTGTGTACTGACTTAACCATGTAGCTGTGCCTGGTAGTGTATGCTAAGTCATGCTTTTCTAAGTGCGTCGCAGTGTGCACCTGTCCAGAGGGCTCGGGTCCTGATGCCTCCTCAGACACCCGTCTTCGAAGCAGTTCTGAAGCAGCCTCCCACAAACATATAGAACACATTTTTTATCCATTCATTTCATACTTCCTTTTTAATAATGGGAATAGGTTATCCTCAAAGTTCTGCTCAAACTGCCTCTAAAGACCTTTTTCACCAAGTCTGATGGAAATTTTCCTCTGTTTCTTTGGTGTCTTCGGCATCTCTGATTCTGGTGACTTTATTTTATGTCTTGAAATTACTTCCTTCCTTGGTTTTTCTGATCTTTCACAGGCTGTTTCTCTTCATCTCCACCATGCTAAAGTGCAACCTATTTGTAATATTCAAGACTTGTATGACTACCTCTGGCTGTTGTCAAAGAAAAGGAAAGAAAGAAAGCAAGAAACAAAGAAAGAAAGAAAAAAGGAAAGAAAGAGAATGACAGCCTCTGAGAAGCACTGAGACCAGCAGTTTCCTTTCCCTGCTAGCAAACTCTTTCTCTTCAGGAAGGCGAGACCACCCCTGACCCTCTGTCTCCAGGGCCTCATACCTTTGTTCCTCAGGCACAGAACCTGCTCAGGTGCTTTTCACTTAGGCTAAGACTTCCGGATGTATCTTGAACTGCAGAGATTGAAGTCAGAGTCTGAAAATTTAATCATAGCTTCCTAAATTAGTTTTCTGACTTTAAAAGAACAGAATGAACCATACATACGAAAAGGAAACTTTTACCAATTGAATTCACTCTTTGTTTTACAAACCTACTATTTGGGAATTTAAAATTTTAAGAGTTATAAATAATCTATGAACCAGGAAAATTCCTTGAAACTTTGAGTTGATCATGTAGTCTGTCTTCTATGGGTAAGTCCACAGTAAGTAAAAGCTACATTTCTGAAGATTATAAAGCAGTGATAAACCTGCTAAATGTTTAATGTCAAGTGAAATAGTAAGTATTAAAAATGTATGATTACATATTTAAAGTAAGCCTAAAGATACAAAATATAAGAAATTCTTTAAAATATTAGTAGCTGCAGTGTTCTAATACAGTCATTTCATATATATATACAATATATATGTATTACTTTGGCTTTAAAAAATTAAAGAAAACATTGGTTGTAAAACCCAACTAAAGCTTCAGAGGAATCTACCATCAGGTAACTTGGTGTCAGCTAGAAAACTCCAGTACCTTCTCACTATGGTTCCTGATGTATCACTCATTTTATTTTGCAAACTGAGAAGGAATTTTGCACCAAAATCACAGTTGTCCTCATGGTAATTATTCTTTAGGAAGTAAGGTACATATGGAATAATGTTTTAACCCAAGAAGTCAAAGTTTATGCATTTTTGGAGCTATGCTAGATGCACTTTTATGAATAAGTAGCCAAAAGATAATTATATTATGCTTAATGATTTAAAAAATTCACCAATACGTACTAAAGTCTGGTTTATCAAAAGTTGCTTTCTTTCTGCCCTTGTAGTTGGAAACGCATGTACACCTAGTTAATTTTTAAATAGCAGTATTTAAATTTCTAAAAGAGTCATCAAATAATTGTTAAACATTAAGAATGTGCTACAGAAATTACCTGTTTAGGAAACTCAACAAAAGGCCCATCAAAAAAAAACCAAAAAAAAAAAAGAAAAACAAAGAAAGACCCATCATCACACTAAAGTATCATAAGTATGCACCAGACAGCAACAAGAGATGCAGCACTTTTTAAAATCATACCAAATAAGGATTTCGGGGACGCAATTTAATTTGTATCCCGGGGGTATATTTTCATCTTTTTGTCAGAGAATGTACATCCATAATTTACCACACACGAATTACAGTACAGAAAGGTCTGGGATGTTATAATTTGAATTTCCATTTTTTACCAAAAAGCATAAAACAATGACTTTGGAATGCCGACTATAGTAACAAGTCATTTGGAATGTTTGCCTTTTCAAGTTAGCAAAACAAGTAGTCCACTTTACAAATGCCTGCAATTTCTGCGATTATGTTGAGACTAGCGCTTGGGACCACAGGTCCCTGTTCTCTCCTGTCTCCTTATGTCAATGTTTTTACAGTTGTCACTCCTTTCCACATTAATGCAGTGGTTCCTCGGCTCAAGAATTTATTTCACTCCACGATTCTGGAAAACGGCGGCACTTTCTCATTCGTGTGGGAAAGACGGCCGCTGGGTGCTCTTCACCCCAGGCAGAGCTCTCACACAAAGGAAACAGTCTGGCTCTGAGCGAACCCAGACACCCACAGGCCTCCCGGGCTCTCTCTTTTGTTCTGCTTTCTTCTCTGGGTAAGTGACAGAAAAGGAGATATTTTCATGTGGATTCTTGACTATTTCACCTTTCAAGGGATTTTTTTTCTTCTGTCTTCATTTTACTATAACATTCTACATTCAATTTATATTTCCTTCAAAATTTTACTTTCAGTTCATTATATTGCCATGGGTTGGTTTTCATTTTTAAGTGGGCATGCAGCCTAAATATAGCCCATAGATTTTCTGCTACAGAAGTTGCCTTTGGAATTACCCAAAGGTGATCCTTCCTAGTTCATTATAACTGATGCATTGATTTCTCCAATTAAAACTTTACAGAGGATAACATTGTTATCAGTGCTCTAGAGCTGCTGTGTCCAATGAGGTAGCTCACTGGCTATGTGCAGGCTAATGTAAACAACTTAAGTGTAAAGTTTTTAGAATTAAGTGTAATTTGAAATTGATTTACCTGGTTATACTAGCCACATTTTAAGAGTTCAATCACAACGTGTGTCTACTAGCTACCATCTGGAATAGCGCAGTTATTATAGGAAATTTGTATCCTTGCACAAAGTTCTGTTGTACACCCTTAATTTAGATGAAGTATAGTGTGAGAAGCAGGAATTCTAACATGGCCCTTTTGAAGCCTAAAATGTGGAAAGTAGTACCACAGGTCAGGTGTTTCTCATTCTTCATTAAATGTAGTGAATGCAAGGTATACCCTATAAGATGTGTTAATTACTGCATAGTAAAAAACTAGATAGCATGTTAAGATTTATGTACCAATGAGGTTACTTCATACAAAAGGGAAAACAAAATATCCACGTCGTGTAGGCACATTTCCTATTCCCAGTTAACTCTACCTGAGTCTTGTTCTAACTTGGTGCTATGCAGGCTCATTCAGCCCTCAGTTTTTTGTTGTTTTACATTTCTTATTAGTACATGTTGGTGATACATAAGGATTACATTTATTGTGGAAAGTTCACACAGGTACATAACACATCTTAATTCATTTTATCCTTTCCCTCCTCTCCCTCCCTGCTTCCCGCAACCCTCGTTTACCTTATCTTCAAAATCTCTATTCTGTTCTTCAGTTCTTTTTAAACCCCATTTGCTTCCTCACTTCCCCGGTCCCTTCATCTCTTATTCCCCTTCCCATTTGAAAAACGTCTTTCTGTTCTCTTTTATTTTATGCTTTATATTTTCGGTTTCTCATTGAAGAGAAGCCACATAGTATTTAAACTTGTGCATCTGATTTTTTTTCACTTAACATCGTGGTTCTCCAGATACATCCTACTTTATGCAAGTTGATGATCAATACATTTGCTATAGGGTAAGAAAAACATCCAAAAAGCTATATCCTTCCCTTCTGATAGAGGAGATAGTTAATTCAGTAAGTGTAGTATAAGCAAGGTCATTCCCAGTGTTTGTGGGTTCATAAAATTTATGCAATTTGAAAAATATTTCAAAAAAAACAAAATTGCAAATATATAAAACCATGATCATATTTACATTCTAGGAAAGAAACTTTCCATTTTGGAAGAAGTTTGCAAAGCAAGTAGCCTTGAAGTTTCAGCTTCTTTGTTTACTATAAAGACACTTTTGAGTACAAGATACACAGTATCACGGCAGTATAGGCAAATATCAAGAGAGAGTAACCACAATTAGAAGGGCTGGGGATGGGGGCTAATGGAGTAAAAGGACTAGCAGGAAACCTTTTTATGTTTAAGTGATAATGCTTACTGTCGGCATAGAGAATATGGGACCGCAATGGGGTTGTTCCCATACTTTAACCTTAGAACTTGTATAGTATTTTCAATAACATGTATGGTAAAAGTACATTGCATTAGAATGTCTTTAAAAATAAGTCTGACAACTCTTACTAAAGGAAGACACACACATGCGGGCATACACATAAAGAGCGGGACCGAGATGACACTGATGGTGATGATGACGATGATGACGATGGTGATGATGAGGATAGAAGCAAGCATTGGGTAGCAGCTTGGTAAGAAAAGAAAGTGTCTTAGCTTCCACAGACTGCGTGGCTTAGATGTAGACATTTATTTCTCAATTTCTGGAGACTAGAATTCTAAGACCAAGTTACAGGCACACTGATGTTCTGCTGTGATCGCTGTTCCTGGCACACAGAGGGATGCCTCCTCTCACATCGTGGGCTGGGAACAAGCTCGCTGATATGGTTCATAAGGGCAGTAATCTCATAACGAAGCCTGCACCCTCCTGGCCTTGTCAATATTTATACTTCCAAAGACTGTGCCATCACACTGAGGACTAAGCTCTCAGGATGTAAGCTGGGAGGGGCACAAACACTCCTCTGTAACATGCAGCGATCATTCCGAAGGGTGGAATAGAATTGCAAGGCATAGGAGAGAAAGGTGAGCAGAGGGTTTGAGCATTTATTGGAAAGAAGGCGTTTGAGGTTCTGTGTGCTCCTAGAGTACTAATCTTGATGATCATAACTTGAAATAACATATTTGAAATAATATATGTACTGTATATCCACAGTTTTGGTAAGAATTATTTTCTAGTTTTAGAAAAATGGAATGAACTGGAGAATGTTGTGGATTTTAAATGTCTCGCCAGAGCTCAGGAGTGCAAGGCTCAGTCCCCCTCTCATGGTGCTACTGGGAGCTTGCGAAGGCGTTAGGAGCCAAGGCCTCACTGGAGGAGGCCATCACTGGAGTGCGTCCTTCCTACTTTCCCCTGTGTTATGGTTTGTGTCTGGGTGTCCCCAAAGCCTCATGTGGTCATGGGGCAGGCTTTTTGAGTTTGATTGATTATGGGTGTGAGAGCTACACCTGCCCTGGGGTGGATAGTTTGCATATGTAAGGGAGAGCAAGAGGCTGTTTGCGGGGATTCCTGGCTTTTGTGCTTGTTGCTTTTGCTGTGTTCTGCTGCCATGAGCTGTAGCCCTCTGTCATGTGCCCCTCTGCCTTGTAACCTGCCAAGTATGGACTGAAACCTCCACAAACTGTAAGCGAAATAAACCTTTCCTTCCTTAATTTTGAGTGTCAGGTATTTTGTCCCATCAATGAGGGAAAAGTAACCAAAACACCCTGCTTCCTGATCACTTCAAAATGAGTGGTGCTCCTCCACCACCTGCTCTTTGCCGTAATGTTCTGCCTTCCTACAGGCCCAAAGCAAAGGAAACAGCTGACCATTTACTCAAGCTATGAGTCAAAATAGTAATGCCCTCCTTTGAAGTGTATCTGAGACATCTTGTCACAGTGACAGAAAGCTGATAGACAAATTTCATTGTGTGATAAAAATATGGTGTTCTGCTAATACTACTAACTGTAGCTGCTCCCACCAATTCTATTCAAAACTTGTATTGGAAAACTCTTTTATTAACTCATAGGTTTCCATGAAA